GTCGTCTTTGTGCGTCGTTCAACTTAAGTAAATATGAAGGTCACGAAGTCAAAAATTGATATACCTCTCCGAGAGGTGTTGTCATAGGTAATGTATATGTAAAATATGAAAGCCCTATCCCCTCTCTCATTCAAAAGTTCTTCCCAATGTTAAAAAAATGAAAAAGACTGTAGGTTTAACTTAAAGGTCAAGGCCACGTAGTCAAAAACCAGAGTACACTCGGAAAGATTTTGAAAAAGGTAATGCACATGAAATATAAATGCCCTATCTTCTCTCATTCAACATTTAAAAGTTATCAGCAATGTTAAAATTTTAGAAAATTAAGTTAAACTTCAAGGCTATTGGGTTCAAAATCATAGTGCATTTGGAAAGTTCTTGTCAAAGGTAATGCATATGTCAAATATGAATGCCGTATCTTCTCTCATTCAAAAATTAGCAACAATGATAACATTTTTGAAAATAAGGTCAAACTTGAAGGTCACGGGGTCAAATATCATAGCACAATTGGGAATTTCTTGACACTGGTAAATGGTAATCCATCATAGCATGTTCGGAAACGTCTTGTCACAAATAATGCACTTTTCAAATATGAGTGCTCTATCTTCTCTCATTCAAAAGTTATAACCAATGTTAACATTTTTGAAAATTAGGTCAAACCTCAAGGTCACGGGGGCAAGAATCATGGTACATTTGGAAAGGTTTTGTCACAGGTAATGTACCTGTGAAATATGAAAGCCATATCTCCTCTCATTCAAAAGTTATGACCAAGTAAAGGTAAAACTAGTATTAAAATTTTTGAAAAGTAGGTCAAACTTCAAGGTCAAAGTCACGGGTCAAAAATCATAGTATATTTGGAAAGGTCTTGTCACAGGTAATGTACATGTGAAATATGAAAGCCCTATTTTTTCTCATTCAAAAGTTATGACCAAGGTTAAAGTTTGTGTGACAGACTGACAGGCGAAAACGGGGGACAATTAAAATTGACTTTTATTTTATTTTTATTAATATTTTTTATGCATCCGTAATCAAAGATTCGGGAATATATAGTTTTTGCTCTGTCCGTCCGTCTGTCTGTCATTTGTCTGCATAAACTTTAACCTTGCCCATAACTTTTGAATGGTTGCAGCCACAGACCCTTAGATCGCTTTATAAAAATTAATTAATAAGGTGTTAAAATATCTTTTTATACACCCCATTTTTTTCAAGTCGGATTTAAGCGATCCAAAGGCCTGTGGTTGCAGCTATGGCTCTCATATTTCACATGTGTGTATTCCTTTTGACCTTGATCTTGGAGTTTGACCCACTTTTGCAAAAATTTACCCAGCTATAACATTGGCCATAACTTTTGAACAGTTGGTGCTAGGGCTTTCATATTTGTATTAATCATGACAAAACCTTTCCATGGGTGTAAATATTTTTGACCATAGAGTTTGACCCATTTTTTTAACTTTAACCTTAGCTATAACTCTTGAACAGTTAGTACTAGGGCTTTTAAATTTCACAGCTATATTTTCCTTGTGACAAGACCTTCCTTTGGATACCAACAATTTTGATCTTGACGTTAGAGTTTGACCTACTTTTGAAAAACTTTAACCTTGGCCATAATTTTTGCACAGTTTGTGCTAGGGCTTGATATATTTTGCATGTGTATTTCTTATGACAAGGTCTTCCACTGCGTACCATTAATTTTGACTCTCTGACTTTGACCTTGGTGTTTGAACCACTTTTAGAAAACATTAACCTTGACCATAACTGTTGAATGATTGGTGCTGGGGCTTTCATATTTACCAGGTATATCCATTGACACAAGCCCTTTCTTTGGGTAACAACATTTTTGATCTCTTGACTGATCATGGAGTTTGACTTAAATTTGAGAAACTTTAACCTTAGCCATAAGCTGCCATACGAGGGCATCAGTGTTTCACAAACACATCTTGCTTCATTTGCTCTTACTATGAAGCGCATTGAAGTGGTAAAAAGTTTTCATTTGAATGAAACGTTTTGAGTTTTGAACAATGCTTGTTACATAATGACACACCCATTCAGATAGGAGAAAGCGATTTAATGTAGGGCGAGTGGGCGGGGAAACACCAGTCTGCACTGAGAAAAAGAGAACCTTCCATTGTCTTAAATTTTCTCTCATGCTTCAATCGAATACCGCTGTAGAACAGATATGCTATAAATACAATAGCCAATCATATTGGCAGTACTACATGAACACCGGGTAAACGTGTTCGATCGATACACGTGCTGTGATAACTTAATAGACATGACAAATACATATACGTGTAATAATGTACATATTCGTTGCAATGCGTGAGTTTTACAGAAGCGAGGAGTCTCTCACTTTCTCTCTTCCAACTTCATGATATCGCCATTTCAGCATAACTTGCCGGATGTCTTAAAACATTTCCCAAAATGAATATTGCTTTCTCAATTCTAAAGAAACGGGTGGGTCATCATGTAACAATTGACGTTCGATAAGAAAGACTCAACTGTC